AAAGCTTTGATGACAGGAGGTCTGCAGGTACCATCAGGATATAAAAAGCCTTTCAAGTCCCTTCCAACCCAAAACATTCTGTGATATGACTCTATGACAGTATTAGCCAATGGGGTAGAACGTGCAAGCAAATGTGAGTTGCTGTTTTATACCACTGAGGTCTGATCCCACTGGTTAAATTCATGATTGGAGAGTAAATTTACCATCTTACATAGTACCAAATTTTACCCATGTTCTATCCACTATTAATGAAAGGAAAACTGATCTCTCCATCATCATATAAATTGATCTCTGTGACTTGGCAAGGAGTCAGAGCAGTGAGGATAATGACCCTGTAAGAGTATTAGATCTAATACCCTGAGGCATTAACCTTTGTTTAACCAAAAGGTAAATCTTTTGATGAAAGACAACATTTTATTACTATCCACCTGCAACAAATAGCTCATTTCTTACTACTATAACTCAACTGCTGGTACTGAAGAGCAAAACTTGCACTTTACATTCAGAGGCTCTTGAGTAATTCACATTGAGGTCACAGATCAAAACTACTTATATACTGATGATGATCAAGTCCTGCAAGGTGCTATGCACAGAGGGGTAAATGTAGCAGCTGAAACTGGTAGAGAGAGATGGAGGCTGTGAACAAATTACCCCTGGTAAAGAATACTAACCAAGCTGCAGAAGGAGGGTGGGCAAACAGAAAAGATGTTCCTGGCTTGTGGAGCAGTACTGATCCTTTCAGTCACCCCATAATTATGTTTTTTTCTGAGAGAACCTACATAAAACTGAGTAGTCACTTTCATTGTCTCTGTTCTCAGAAACAGCTACAAATTCTAGAGTTTGTATTTTTCCATGGAATTTAAATTAGCATATAGCAAGATGACGTTGCCAAAAGCCCATCGAGTGCAGTCTCACTCCAGTCACCACTGTTTGCTCCATCTTCAGCAGTCTGCCATGTTTTGAGAGCACCCCATCTTTAAGCAAACACAATAAGTCAGCATTATTTCAGGCATTTCCCTGCATGTTTCTCTGCCCTGTAAGATCAAGTTCCACCCATAAGCATGTGTCCCTGCATTGTCTCATGACAAATGGTTTTCTGTGGTGGTCTGAATATCCAGCCTTAGTTGTACCTCCTCAGTTTCTACCACAACAGAGTCCCAAGTTTTGATTTTCTTGCAACAGAGTTTATTTTTTTTTATTGAAAGCAAATGTCATTGAGGCCTTTGAAATCCTTGCGTCTACATGGCAGGTCACACAAAACAGCACTGCTTTCCAAATTTAATATTCTTAATGTATTTGTTAACAGAACATTGACATCTGCTTAATGCTTTCTTTACAAGAATCTACCAGATCTCCCTTTATGCATTTCTTGCCAACCTCAGCTCTCCGTTTTTGCATTTACAAAACAGGACATGAAGTAAAGTTCCAGAGCTAAAATCTAACATAAATCCTTTTTCCAAAAAATATTATTTTGAAAAATGCATCTGCCCTTTCAAAAGCTTTGAATCACGGTCATCTAACGCACTGATGTTTAAACAAAAGCCACTCATTTTTTTAATGCTACAAAGCAAAGAAAAACAACAAACTAAGGGATAGATGGTTGATACATAGCTATCCTTTTCATGCCAACGCCTCCAGCAATGCTCCAGTGTAAATCAGGTGCCTCATTGGAGAGAATTTTTGGCAGCCTAAAAAGAAACAGCAGCAACTCAAGTGTGTTTCTGAACCTCACTTATAAAATCTGTCTCACGTACTGTAAACTCTCACCTGGTATTTTTAACCCTTGGGTTCCCATAGTTTTTTTTCATTTTGTCAAAACAAAGGAATGTGAGGGAGATGTCTGTTAGACTCCTTTACTCAGCCCAAGGGTTAATCATTCAGTTTTGTAGACATTTGAAAATATTATGCTACCTCTAATGGCAAAATTGATAGAAGCTTGTTTCAGGCTCACTTTATGTCATTATGGCAGATTAAATTAACTAATCATAAATTATGCTGGCTAAAGTACATCTGCTACTCACTAAACCTGCAGAGAGAAGGGAAGGGTTTTTTCTTCTGAATAAGAAGTAAATGCCATGCACAAAATTAAAGACTTCCACAAACCAATAAACATACGTTCAAGCAACAACAGCTGGAAGCATCCCAAAGTCAGCAGCAACAGATCCTGAGGACCATGGCAGCAGTCTAGCAATGAACCTGTAGCTGTTGTGGAAAAGCATCAGCACTGTAATGCTGCAGGGGTATACCCATGGATCAAAGAGTAAAGATGTCCATTAAAGAATAAAGAAGATCAATTAAACAAGAATTAGCATGCTCTCATTTTTGCTAGAGGTCTTTGAATACCAATATTGGGTTGACCGTGGCTGGATGCCAGATATCCACCAAAGCCCTCTCTCACTCCCCTCTGCAGGAGGATGGGGGAGGGAAAATGTAATGAAGGGTTCATGGGTTGAGGAAAACAAACTAGAATTAGAAATGTTAATTGAATTTATTACTAGCAAAATCAGGGCAGGATAATGAGAAATAAAAGAAGGCCTTAAAAACACCTTCCTCCCAGCCCTCCCTCCTTCTCAGCTCTACCCCCCTCCCACACCACCTCAGGAGACTGGGAATGGGGCTTACTGTCAGACCATCACAGGTTGTTCCTGCCACATAGGAGACAGTTCTCCATGAACATCTTCAGTATGAGTCCATCCCACAGCAACAGCTCTCCACAAACTCTTCCAGCATCACTCCTTCACACAATGCAGGTCTTCAAGGACAAGTTGCTCCAGTGTGAGTCCCCCAGGCGATCACAAGTCCTACCAGGAAACCTGCTCCATAGGTTCCTCTCCACAGGTCTGCAGGTCCCACCAGGACCTGCCTGTGCCTCCCACAGGATCACAGTGTCCTCTCAGGCCTCCACTTGCTCTGCTGTGGGTTTCTCCATGGGCTGCAGGTGGATCTCTCCCCTCCTTCTCCATTGCCCTTGGCTGGTATCTGCAGGGCTGTTCCTCTCATATATTCTCACTCCACATTTCTCTGGCCACAATTACAATTGTGCAATACCTTTTTCTTTTCTTTTTCTATTGAAATATTTGTTATCACCATTTCTAATTGGCCCAGCCTTGGTCCATCTTGAAGCCACCAGAGAACGGCACTGCTAGACATGGGGGAAGTTTCTGACAGCTTCTCACAGAAGCAAGCCCTGTAGCCACCCCCACCACTACCAAAATCTGTCCACACAAACCCAATACAATGGCACGATGTTTGCAGCATCTACTTCCAATGCCAGCTCTTCCATTTTCTGTTCAAAGGGACTGAATACACCATTTCTGTAGGTTTTCAAGGAAGGGGTGGATGTATAGATCACTGAGCTAGAAGACAAGAGAGATTTCACAGGATTCCTCTTCTTACTCTCTGTATTGCAGAATGCAGATGTGACAGCTAATACCATGTCAGTGAGACTAAATTCCTTAGCAGGGCATGAAAAATTGAAGTTAGAGATGTGTGAGAGGAATGGACAGAAAACATGGGAACTCAAGAAGTCTGTTGCAAAGTAAAGAATTAGTGCCTCTCTGAAAACTCATGGTGGACCAGCTCAATCAATCACATTAAATGAGGATTTCCTCTCGTTTGGACTAATATAAGGAAAAAAAACACTATTGCATTGTATTACATGTAACTTCACATATGTAGTTGTCAGTTAAAAAGCAGAATGTAGTTTTGGGGTGACCAAATAGATTGTTTCTGTTTAGGAAACAAACTCTGCTGAACACCTCCAAAAAGATTCCAAGTAGGATGATCAGCCATGTGACCATGTTTAGAGGGAGTGTAAACAAAGTTTTGACACATCTACTGTGTTCCTTCAGGTGTCACAGAGCCTCATGAAGCTTTAGGGGCATCTGAGTAGCCCAAACATAGTTAAAGTAAAAACACTCACATTATAACCTTCTGGAAAGGTGCAGCACTTCTGTTCACCTATTCCTAGGTTCATTCTCCATCAGTCCCTTGAGGCAGATGAAGTTCTTAGTACCATCTGAGTCCTTTTCCCTCACAGTTTCCTTCCAATCACATTCTCTGAACAGTATTACCCATACCACCTCCTATGTGTGATGCATACAGCTATAAAAAAAGTCACAAGGAATGAAATATAGCTACAGGACTCAGAGGAAAGCAGTAAGGAAGAGAATTGTGCCCCTCACCATCATGCAGAAAGCAATGATAAGGTTTTGTCCTGCAGTGGGGAAAAAAAAAATCTAAAAACTTCCCCTGAAAATAAAAGAAATCTTAGATCACCATCAGTCACTGGATAACCTATTTTAAGCCCATCAGAGCCAGTGCGCTGTTCTCATGTTGCTAATTAAAAATGATAGATTCATCAATTAATCTCCCTTCCTGTCCTCTAGTCTTAGTATGAGATTTTTCAAAGGGACAAATGGTCATTAGGTGCCCACAAGTATAATTTCAGCCCTGCAAACTTGTGCCTTTGTCAACATGAACCAGAACCTGTCTCTTTATGCTATAAATGACAAAAAGAAAACCTTAGAAAGCTTTGCCACCCGGAGAAACATAACAGATTTATAATGGGAAAATAATCTTACCCTCTGTACAATGAACATTGCTACATAAATCCTCCCTGGGCTCCAATCCAAACTTGCTCACTGATGAATAAGCCTCTGTTAAATGTGGCAGAGAGAGATGTCCTAGACTTAGTCTCTTGATTGAAACTCAATTGCAATATTACTACATAGCAGTCAGAGATCCTCCACTATTTAGGAAAGAAGCCATGAAGGCAATCTATTTTTATTCACATTGAAATGGAGACAAAGATAAAGGTCCTGCTGTTAGCTTAGCGAAGTGCCAGTCACATAAAGCATGCCAACGACAATGGTTATCGTTTCCTCTTTCAATATAAGTATCGCCAGGCAGAGAAATAGAATTGGGGTGTACAAGGTTAACAAGCCAGCATCATGTTATGAAGCAAGTGATAAAATTGTCTTATAGTTCTTAACTCTGACCTGTTCCAGTGAAAAGCTGCCAAGCAGAATTATGTCATCCTGAACATCTCTCTCAAACTGTTCGATATATGAAGGAATCTCTTCATCTTCAAGCTCCCTGTGAAGGTCACATGCCTTACTGGAGCTGACAGGCATTACAGCATCCGGAAAATCTTCACTGGCGACACGGGCTGCTTGAAACAAAAGTGGCAGATTATCTCTCAGCAAATGAAAGTTCATTCACTGGTTTCTACCTTCTCAGTTAATATGTTTGACCCACCAACATTTAAGTATGAAACAGCATCAGTAACACAACTGACAGGTACCAAGTGCCAGTACCAGGAAAACTGCCCTCAAGTGCAACATCAGAATTCAGGTACAAATATAGCATGTGCAGCTTGTTCCTTAGGTACTTTTTTTTTAAAGGCATGATCTACATTTCCACCGGCACTTTGCTTGCCTGTTAATCTTAAAGGGACTGGGATTTGGAACAACTTTGGCCTTCCTTCCTAAGGAAAACGAGTAATAACTGCAATTGAATGGGAGCTTTAGGTGAAGTCACATCAAGCATTTCATCTTCCTTTCAACTCACCCCAAATGACTGGATCCCTTGCCCTAGGTGTATGTGTGCAGCTCCTGCCTAATTAATTGGGTCCAGTTCTGCTCTCACCCACAACATTCCCCTGATTTCACTGCAGTGATGTATGCAGAACTAAAGTGTACATGCACCACATAAATAAAAATAAATCCCATTCATAAAGTCAGCCTTAAAGAGAAACTTTGTCTTTTCTCAGTTTAATTGATCATTCTATGTTAAAAAAAAAAAAAAAAGATAAATCTTCACTCTGATATGTGCTACAGTACTAATACTAGTTTGGGTCATAAATAATAACAACTATTTTTACTCATGCCTCCCCATTACGATCACTAAAAAATAACAGACATCAGATTGCCCACATCTATCTGTCTTACTTTGTATTTCTGTGTGTAAGCTTTTATAGTTCTCTGTGCCTATCTCTTAAAGAAATTGCCATATCTAGTTTAGTTATTTGCTTCTTTTTGTCCATCCTACTACATGAAAGCAGTTAAAAGAGAGGGTTTTTTCCTCACTCTCCTTTGAAGTCTTTCATTCTCTAATGAAGACCAGAAAAGGAAAGATAAAACTAAGGCTATTAACATTTCCAGTTTTGCTCACTGCTCATTGTTTAATGACTTTAATTGTTGAGCCTCCCGAGTACTTAAATCACCTCGGTGCCACCAACACACAGGAAGCAGGGTGGGTTTTCTATTTAATTACAACAGGATACAATTCAAAATCATGTTGGGGGAAATGTACAGTAGATATAAACAACTCAAACCATTACCTTAGGGTACACATCTCTTCATGTAGCACTTTACAAACCTAATGAAATGTGATTTGACCTGCAACTATTAACTGCAAAAACAAAACAATATTTACATTTAAATTTACTGTAACATTAAGGGTTTGGCTAGGAGAGAGAAAACCCAGGAAGCACAGGAAAAAGAAACATTGCCAAAAGCAGAAGATGGAGCATCTCTTGTTCCCCTTGATGCTGTGTTGTACACAACAGGCCATATGCTCAGCTGGTATAAATCAGCTGCTTTACTGCTTTCACAGGAACACTGCAAGTTTACATCCTGAGAACTCAGTAGATTTCTGTCTCAGGTAGAGCAATAGTCAAAAACGGAATAAAACCATTTGGATCAGAAAGATAAACATGAAACAATTAATCAAAATATACTTTTTAATTTTTGTGTTTCTTATTTTTGTGAGGAATCATACCAAGAGAAGTAAATTTTCGTGGAAGACATCGGACTCATTAGCGCAAGCATTGTCAAAAAAGAGCAAAATAAGAAGAGAGCATTTTCAAAAGCCTTTTCATGGGAAGCAACTCTGAAAAATAGAGTAATAAATTACAATTTAGATTTTAAAAATATTTTGTTAAAACATACATATGGTCATTTAAGCACAGTTGTTCATTTGCCTGAATTGGAAACAAGGAGAGAACAGGGTTAGTTCAGCTGATCTATTCCTTCTGCAGTGGCTTTGCAAAGAAACTTCTTAAACTTGGTCAGCATCAGGTTGGTCCTTGCTTGAGCTGATCCACAGGTTGGAGGATTGAAGTGATGCCCCAGAGCAATACTTGACCAAAAGAAAAGCAATCAAATCCTTGCCTGCACAAAAGTAGCCAGTGTTAAAAATTCTACCACTTTGTACACAGAGGATAAAGTGGATGAAAATTCATTAATGGATTTATAATTAAAATAAATTGATAATTAATTTAAAAGTTGCTGCTTGAAGTTGTCAGCATGGGTATCAAAAATTTTCATTGCTCTGGATATACCCAACTCTGAGAGTCATGCTTTCCTTGTAGCTTAAATCACTTCAGTACAGGCTGTATTTGCAGCTGCTTGGCTGTAATTGAAGCAATCTCTCCAGTATTAGCTTGACTGCTTGTGACTTCATTTACTTCTGTATTTGTCCATCAGAGAGCAGCAGTTTATATACTAACATGATAAAGGGCATATTCAGCAGCAGATTACACCTCAGGATGGGTTTGATGCATAAAACTGCAGCCAACTCCATATGGAAAAATAATTTTGGCGACCTGGTTTAGAAAACAGTGTACAAATTGTATCTAAAAAAGTTCAGCACTGAAGGTTCATGCATCAGTTTCAGACAACTAATATTCTGCAAAACTTGGCACTTCAATTTTTTGGTTCTTGACAGAGAACAATATAATAGAAATTACTTCTTATGACAATCATGTATCATCATCTAAAATGTTAATGGATCCCAAGCTTATATTGACAAAAATGCAAGATAAAAATATGTCTATATCTTTATCTATAAAAACAACCACCAACGTTGCCTTTTAAGTTGCCTTATAATATGAAATAACACGTACCATAAGAGTGACCAGTAGGTCACTCAGCAACAAAATGCTTTAAATATACAATTATATAAATTCTGAGCCATGCTCTTTCCTTTCCTTTGGGGATCATCTATTAATTAGGACTGTATGACTACGTGATTTTTCAGCTCAGTGGCCAAATGAAGAAACGAAGCAGTTCTGTAAGAGTGGAACCAAATGAATCCTAGTTTTCTATGGTTTTTCTGATGCTAATAAGGGTCAAACTCCCATATTAGCTTTTCCCTCGGTGGAGACATTAATAATGCTTGTCTGCTCTGCTCAACTGCCCACTTCCATAAAACTGGTAGGGAAGTCATACCTGTGAGACTTGCTCCCTGTTAAAAAAAAAGAGTTGGAAATGACCAACTAGTTCAAATACTGGGAGGGAAAAACACAGGCTGAAATAAATGCACCCTGAAATATGAACAGAGGTGGAAACTGCACAAGATTCACCTCCCCAGGAAAATCCCTCTTTCCTGGATTTGCTTCACCCAAGCAAAGAAAAGTAATAAATTCAGCTAGAATGGTGTGCAGCTTCACCCACAGGACCAGCTCTGATACCCATCATGGCATTTTTCAGACACAAAAGCACCAAGGCACAGCTTGAGACCCCCGAGAGCAGTGGTCTGCAGCGTGTCCCCCATTTCTGCCCTCACACGGGGGGCTCTGATGTGCATATGGAGTGTGAGACACATGCTGATACAGTTGCTTGCCCCAGAATTAACAAAGAACAACTGAGATCTTGCTAATAACTTGTTAAAGATTTTTGCCTAAACTATCCGCATGAATTTAGTTGTGATGGGTGCACTTTTTCCCCCCCTTGCATCTAAGATGAGATAAAATGGGTTTCAAAGATGTTACTGATATGACAAGTGCCAGTTCAAGAGATTTTGCAACCCTAGGCAAATGAAAACACTTGTCTCTTCTAGAACAAAGTTGCTTATAAACGAAATAGTCATAAAACAAGTTGCAGCTCCTGGAGCTCCAGTGCCGTAGGCAACCTCCTGCTCTGTCTCTCTGACAGAGTGGCCTCGTGTATTGCTGAAATACAACAGGAATTCTCATACAGATACAAAGGACACAAAATAATTTTGCACAAAAGACAGCTGCTGAAAAAGGAGAGGGTGGATAGGCAAAAAATACAAGGGCAGCTCTGAGCTGGGCTTATACAAACGTCACTTCTCCTGGGATGAACCAGAGGAGAGCAGCAGACATGGGCCTCATGTAAAAGCTGTGATGGCAAAAATCTTGTGAATCAACCAGGTTTGAAGTAATGCCCATAAAAATAAGTGAAAACAAAGTAAGGCTGTTCGCTTGAGGTGAAGAAATCTCATTTACTTCTTAGTTTTTACTGTAGAAAATTTACACCAATTTGTATTTTCTAACAAAGCCACAGAAAACTCTTGCTCATCTTAACTCTTGTTAGTGCAAATCCTTGCATCGATAACCTCAAACAATGTCACCTGACCCATGTATCAGACAAATTGCCCACCCTTTTATCAGCTTAAATAAGGATTTCGATTTCTAGATATGAGCACATAAGTAATGATATTTCCAGTCTCCTTTCCCAAGTGTGGAATTCAACATGAAATGAAGCAATAAAGAACGTCACTTAAGTTACAGTAAAAACCACATAAACATGACACAAAACAAAAACATTTGGAGAAAAAGACCTTACAGAATTGCATTAAAATCATCATCCCTTTGACTTCTGAGTTCAAGGGGATGGATTACCCTCTCTCCCCCCCACATGCAGACTCAAAAGAGTTTTATTTTTCTTTATGCAATTGACTTTGTTATTTACCTTGGAAGTCCAGCATCTTGTTTTCTTCATCTAGAAGCTTCATCAGTTTAGAGTACAGGATTTGCTCATCAAATTTCATAGGATCTTAAAAAAACAACAATGAAACAACTATAGTTTCTTCCACTAGTATTTCAGGAAATACTATTTTAAATTAAAAGTAAAGATATAAAAATACAAAAGTTAGGAAGACATTTGACACTTGAAGATAGTTTTTACAATGCTGGTTTTATAGCTCAGAATAAAATTACAGTCACTTGTTTGATGCAAGGCAATTCAAAATAAAAAATATGGTCATATATATTTTAAATGGTGAACAATATTATATGTTGATCTGTACAGAAACTGGTTTATAAATTCTGATAATAGAGTAGCTGAAATGACTGTTTATATTCAAATGGCCAGATGAATTCTATTTGACTCTTAATGAAAATCAAAATACCCAATTTATTCTAACATGACTTTGGATCCTCATTAGAAATTTCACCTTGCTTTCCATAATACGAACACATTATCTAGTATGAGTAGTCATTATAAAACTCTACGAATTTTGAATTTGTGACTGATCATACAAATTTTCAGTAATATCTGTAGATTTTAAAATGCAGCAAAGGATATGCACGCTTACCTTTCTGCATGAGACTTAAAAGAAAATTACTCAAAAGTTCTATATTTAAGGGAGAAATTAGTAACTTGGACCATCTTCTCTCCAGATCTCTCAGACTCTGACTTCTCTAAGTTGTCAGCAAAGACAGGCAGAGAGAAAACCAAAGAAATGCACACAAGGCAGGTGGATTAAGTACAGCTACATGCAAGCTTGGGTGGCTCATTTTAAGTGTTCAGTAGAATCTCAAAGAATAAATTATTTTTACCATTAAACTTCAGAGCCAAATTTTTCAGTCACACAGATATTTCAAAGAAGGTAGTGGCTTCTGCAAATCTCATCTGAAAGTATAGAATCTTTTACATTTCTTTTCGGCTACAACATTGAAATGTTCCCTTGGCAAAGGGGGCAAGCGAATCCATAGTGGGCTGTAGTTTGCTCTCAGGGCATTATGAACTCATACAAATTTCCAGAACAAATAATTTATCAAATATAGAAAAGATAATTGCCAATATCTTCCTTTTCACAGAATAACCCATTAAGGAATTGTTAGTGGCTGAAGATTTGCTTTTCACCAGATATTCTCTTTGGGCATTGAACCTGGCTTTCTAAAGTTCTAAAAAGAGTGTAACTTCAAAGTGTGCCCTGATTTCTTCACGTTTTTCTGGTTTTGACTCTTGCTCATGACAAGCTGCTAGCTGGAAAGAAGAGATAAGCCAGTGTAGTTTCCAGTCAGGGGATGACCATGCAGGACTAGGGTTTAGTTCTGTTTTTAAATCCATCCACTATATACAAGTGTACTTCCACTAATTTAACACTTCTGCAAGGAAAAAGAAGGCCAACAGTGAGCCTGGCCAACCTGAGGCTGGTACTGTAGCTATTTGACTTTTAATAAGCATTGTCTCAACCTTTGAGTAACATTTTTAGTCAGGGAGAAAAAGGAGGACCACCAAAAGACAGCTCTTCACACACGGATCTCAGGTTTAGCATGATACGCAATTGACTAAAACCACCTCTCCACTCCAAAACCTGGAAGTCAAGAGACTAAGAGCCTGTTCCAAATTCTAAAATAAATAAATATATTTTACCACACAATACAAAATCAGCATTTATGGTTAAGTTTATCACTCAGCCTCTTCAACACAGTCAAGAGAACATTTCCTCCCAATGAGAACTGTATTTCCCTATATCCCTTATGTCACCACTCTGTCTGTACATGATTTCAAGCATACATGCACAGATACATAAATCTAATCTGCTTTTCATTCTCTGCTTATGAAGCAGATTATGACTCATAAAGCCTTTTCATAAGATGAACCAAGGCAAGACCAACAAGAAAAAATCTTTCCTTTAAAAACTCTGAGCCAGAAGTTGACTTCCAAGGTATTACGCTGCTATCCTACACAATGAATGGGGAAATTATTGAGATTAGATGTAATTCAACCTTAATTTTTTTTTCAACAGAACACAGAAATTCAAGCTAGTTATATGCAATAAAGACTGTTTTTTTCAGTCACACAAGTTTTTGTCTCAAAAGTTTAAAACCTCCATATGTCCTCAAAGTTTCCCATGACTTTCAGCAGCGAACAACTTTGAGACTCTTTAGGATCGATAACTTTATTTTAGATCTGACTACAGCTATGCATCTAGAGAGTCTCTGCAGTACAAACGAGAGCAGGCTTTAGAAAAAAGCAAAGGTAACTAACTCAGGAGAGCTGGCTCTTGCGTGCTATCGGCTTGTTAGTGCTTAACAACAGGAGCCGGGCCAAAGCACTCAGCGCACAGCTAAGCACTTCACGGCCGTGATGATGTTCTTACTTAAGTCCATGCAAATTCAGGCAGGCCCGTTCCCACCCTTTTTTATCTAAAAGCCATGACAGCAAAGGAGAATTTCCTCTGCTAGACAATACCTCCTGGTTAATCTCTCTCATACTTATGCATAACTTCTGTTCTTCCAGCTCTGCAGAGTCACACCCTCCCACTGGTTGCTATCGCCCGCAGAGAGCAAAGCTAAATATCTCGGCTAAACAGGATGAAAAAAAAAAAACAAACAAACCAACCAGAAAAGCCTCCTTATGCACTTTTACACACTCTGGGGTTTCCTTCTGTTAGGCAAACACACATTCAACTCCGTAATAAAATTGCTCTCCAAGACGGACTTTGGGAGCAGGATTGTGAGAAAGCTACAGCTTTGCACTCAGGTCTGGACTAACTTCATTAATTAAAAAGAACGCGGTGTAGACAATGCTCTCGGAATGTGCTTCATTTTGCTACAGTAGCAGAGTGAATACAGAACAGCTTCATTTTTACCTGCCCATTAACTCACTGTCCTTGATCAAAGTCTATGTATGCTGCCTATCGTGTTCAGAGCAGTTAAGGCTTAGAATTTAAATTGTAAACCTCAATATTTAAATAGAACTGCATATGTGATCTCTGACACCTCATTTTCATGAATGGAAAAGAATATTCTGACACCAAAATTACATACTTAATTCTGCCTCACCTTCCTCACTGACCTCCATCCCACACTGCCTTGGGTTTATTTCCTCACCCATCAGCGGGTCAAAGTAATTTCTGCTGTATTCATTTCCTGTGGAAAGCACATGAAGTAAGGGTCAGCGATTATTAGAAGCACATGAACTAAAATGTTAATTTTGAAATCGACACCAGCAAGCAAAGGGGCATTTTTTGCTACTTTACAAGCTTAATTTTTTTAACAAGTCCTCTAAGCCTACTGGTACTGCAATTATCATCTTGTGAAAGGTCAGAAAAGGTAATTCTGGAAACAAGTGCACTTTATGTTACTTTTTCTCAGAAACTAATGAAAAAAGAATCTCAAATTTAGATAGTAGAAAGATAAGAAAAAAAATTTAAATACTGGATCCCAAATATAAGCCAAATTATTCTTGAAACACACCATACAAGTGAATTTTCCATAATGCAGAGGAATTTGTATTTCACAGCTGACCTCTCCAATTTCAACAGTTTTAAATTTCACCATTGAGGTTTCAACGTCTGGTGCATCTTTAATACTGTATTGAACCAGAGAAGTGTTTAATTACAGAGGAGATACCAGGATACTGCCTCATTAATCTGAACAGCAATTATATTCAGTTGGACTAGGTAACAACTAATCCAAGATTTTGATGGGATAAACCCACTCGTTTTAGTACTTGGCTATTTTAACAGCTACTTTTATCTGCTCTTTAGAAAATAAACAAATTTACAAAAAAAATTTTTTTTTAGAATTATCATAAAATACTACAGTATTTAGCTGCCTAGAAGAACTCATGGTAAAAGCCAGAAGAATTTTCCTTACACAAGGAGGGAGGGCAGGCTTTTTCCTCAAAATATGTCTTTTCTTCTACAAAAGTGCTACAATCTATTAAAACCATCCGCATGTTCACTGGGTTTGCAGACACTGTAAAATGTTATTAAACAGGAGGGGGAAAAAAAAGTAAAATAATTAAGTCCATAACAAATGTTTTAATTGCTTGAATAGACATGGATACATATCCTGGAAAACACATAAAACTAAATGTATGAGGGGGTTAATTCATCCAAGATACACTGCGGTTGTCTACAGTGTATTTGTTTTAGGATCAAAAATAATCCAAGCAGCAGCTCCTTTTCAGAGACTAAATGAAACTTTGATATGAAACTAAGTTTAATTTATATTTCTGGACTGGCACATTTTGACTGTCAGTCTCTGTTCCTTCAATGTAGTAAGTACAAGAAGTGAAAATTTGCTTTACCTTGAGGTCTCAATAAAGAAAAAATAAATGAGTTTCATTTTTGTTACTTTATCTGTCAACAACTACTAGGCTGGTATGAATCTTGGCAGTATGTAATCAAAGTCTTATGTACTGCAATAACAGAGCCATTCTACCTTATTCACTGTAATTGTTTTTCTCTAGCACAAAGCACCATGATGTTATATGAACACCCCTTCACGTGTTTGCAAAATAATTCATCTACGTGCTAAAAAAGTAAATGATGATGCATTTCTTTATTCAATTACTTCATAGCTGTAAATGTAAATTGCTGGAACGTGTTTTGCACCCATAGAAACAATATTCAGCTATGGCATAGGCTTCTTGCACAATCTTACTATCACAACAGCTTTTATTGAATTTTAATATCCCATGTGAGTCTGGTGTGAAACTTTGAGGAGTAGACTTTTGGGCAACTCTTCTGGACAGAATAATTGGCATTTAGGAGGAAGTGTCATGTTATATTTGAGTCTGCAAGGCATGGAAACCATTATTCAAAAAAAGAGAAATACATTGACAAATATCATTAAATAGTTTGCTCTCTGGTCCTCTTTAAAAAAAAAGAACAACCTCAACACTTTGAGAAGTATGAGATATTTTGTCCAGGGCGCTGGCTCTGTCAGAACCACACACAGCTGGTGACAGACAGTTGTGCAGAAGGAAAAAGAACCACCAGGCTTGATTCCTTCAGAGCAACATACACACTTTAAAACTTGCATAAGCACAACAAGTGGTAAACACCAGAATCACCTCCTCACAGTGATTTTATGGAAGACAAGCCATTTTAAACTGCAGGACTCCACAGAAAACTTTTATTGAAGCTTTCAGAAGAGCTGAATCACTCAAGCCTCAGGTCACTGCTCTGGGCAGTGGATGTTGCTGTTTGTGGGTTTCTTGGTCTTTTTTTCCCCCTCAACTCAACACGCACCTTGAGAAGTGGTGTGACCAGGAGGTCTGGGCCCTGGGCAGGTCCGAAAATTATTCAGGGGCAGTGGGAGTTGCTTTAGTTTTAAAACACAAAATTATCAATTTTAGTCAACATAACACACTGCCCAAGGCATTTTGCTAATAACGTTTTGTGAGCATGTGAACAGATTACTAATCATTTCACATTTGCTTTTGGAAATATTTGAAAGTATATAACATGTAAATTAACAGTCCACTAAGGAATTCACATCGCTCTGCTTTGTGTTATAAACACAGTAAATGTTAATACAGAGCTTGCTTGTAGGTATTTTGAACAGCATCATATAGCTTGGTGCTTTCAACAGAGCAAGTTGCTTTGACGACCTGCTCCCAGAATGACCTGGCCAGCTTTAGAAATTCAGGTCTCTGCTTTGATCCAGAGGTTCCTTCAAACCCATTAGCTCAGTTTGAAGTCCAGTTCACCCCTCAAATTTGTGTTATTTTATGTGGAAAACACAATAGATAATTCAGGAAATCAGAATTGAAATGCAAACTCACAAATTATCTATACATTAAAAAAAATGGAAGAAGGGCGTTGGCATAACAGTGACCAGATGGGAATTTATATAGTTTAATTAAAGCAAGAGGAGTTGCTAATAAAATTAGCATAATCCTTGGATGCAGCCCATGGGATTGTACACGAATTACTAGGACTGGATGAAACTTAAAAGATGGCTTTTAAACTAAGATGTCTGTAGTCAATTATCCATCTATTTCCTGAGAATACCACACAGGAAAGGCATGACTAAGCTGAATTTCTATGTTGTCCTCTACTCCACAGAAAGATCAGGTAGTCTGTATCAATTGCACATGAAAGGTAGAGCATGGAATTTGGATAACAGGCAGTTATTCCATTTATGTTGTATTATTGATCTAGGTTTTTAATTTAATGAAAACTATGCTGGATTTTTTAAGTGCCTCCCAATCAAAGTAAAAATTAAGGAATTATCAATAGCCAGATGACTGACTACTAAAAATTTGAATAAACAGTTACTGGTACATTTTTTTCAGAGTGAAGCTGGATTTTCAGGGTAAAAGAAAAAAATTCAGTGTGAGCCATCTTTCTTTAGAAGATTAGGGTCTACACAAACTTGCCATGATAAGTAACAAGTCCCTTTTCAGACAGCAGCATGGTCAACACGTGTCCACCAATGACTTGGGAGAACATTACTGGGCATTACTAAGGCAACTCACAGAAGTCTCTTGCATCAGACAGAATAAGATAAAAGCATTTTGGAGAGATGAAATTCCAGACTGAGACAGCATTTTGACCCAAAGTGCTTTTGAAACATAGTGATACAGCTGGGAATGGAAAACAGAAGTCCTCCTTTCCCACACCTGACTTAGAGCATTGATTTCAGCTGAAATTCCTATTAGGGAACATCATAGCAAATGCTCACATTCTTCAGCAAACAGAACTGGACTTATTTCCCTGGGGATACTTTTCGTTTTACTTAGCACACAAGGCCCTTTGGGAAGCCCAGACTGAAGGCTCTGTGATAACATATTCCCCCACTTCTTTATGAGAGCCAAAGCAGTCTGCTGTGGTCAGACTTGAACATCCACAAAGAAAAGTGACCGCCTCAACTTGGCCAGGAAGAACCAATACTTGAGACTAAAAGGCAAAAAGGAAAGCGAAGGTCCCACTTCCAGCATTTCCAGCTACTTCACCTGTCCTTCCTCAAGTCATGATGGGTTATGTGACAAGCACTCCTACCCTCCTCTTTTCATGATTCAGTACCTACTTTGATAAAGTTTGATATCAAGAATTGCTTATTTGAGCCTTTGATTCTACTTTGTACTTTGAAAACTCTATAAAGAATTCTAAAAATCATTCAAAAGGAGTAAAGAATAAGAGAGGTGAAAGAAGCCTTTCACCATAAAAAGAAGACTGTAGAAGCAGAGAAAAATCATCAATGAAAATGGCATAAATAGTAGGAGCTCCTACACAGTGAAAAACTGGATGAGTTTCCAGTTAATTTATAAGTTTTTACTTCACGTAGACAGTGATTAAAAATTGGAAAACAATGTAGGAAAATTTGAAATTTTCACAAGAAAAAATTTTAGTTTTTACTCTAAAATTCTGTGTTGCTAGAATGACTCATATCCAAATGTTATGAAGATGCTAAAAATAAAACTACAGTCTTGTAGAATGTAGTGAACTAATATGTAGTCCAGAAAACAGTGTTAACTTTCCATTCTCATTTCTTCAAGAAAAAAAAAAAAAGAATTAATGTGAGTTAGTCAGAAGCTACACTTTTAGTCTGGGTTCTTAATTATTCTTACGGACCCAGGATATTGGTCACATTTACCTCAGCTCATGTCCATTTGATATACATAGCTAACATTATTTTCTATATTGTATGTATTATATAAATACTTTCTCTGTAGATCTAAAATAAGATTCCTGGGGATGCAACTTTGTTCCAGAGTATCAAATGTATGGAAGAGCAGTAGGGATTTTTACACAGAGCTTCTAATTTTCATTAATAGCAAGCAACACTCAATGAAAAATTGCTTCATAATGGCACCTTCATACTGAAGAGCATTATGCCAGTGACTGGACAGTAGATTTTATCTTGAAAACACAGCTTGTTAAACACTACCAACACCAGGCCACTTCCCAACTTTTAAAAAAAAGGTTTTAAAGGTATCACTCATCATTCTCCTTATCTTCAGCAGACGCCGTAGGTAATGAGGAAATCAGATAACTGTGTCTTATGCTCATATAGCAAGCCTTGAATAAACTCCCTTGTCAGCTTCGACAGGACACTGGCAAAGGGGCCACTCCTGAGCCTGAGCAGTGCAGATCGTGATGTGCCTACCCCAACTCCTGACACATCACACTCAT